GTCTATTCAGGTGGGGACCTCTGAAGCCTGAAGCCTCTAAACCCTAAACCCTAAATCCCTAAATCCCTAAACCCTAAACCCTAATCCCTTAAGCCTAAGCCCTTAACCCTTAGGATGCTTGAACAGCAGTATCCACCCACCGGGCTTCTGGCCTCGTACTCGCTCAGTGTGACCGACCGTCGAGGAGGCTGAGAGGCAGCATCAACCATGTCTTTCAGCCAATCATTCCTAGGGGCTTGAGCCAGGCTGTGTAGGGTCTAGGCTTTAGGGTGTAGGTTTGAGGTTTTAAGAATTCATAATGCTGAATTCAAGCCTTCCCTCCGGTCCCCCGTAGCAACTACACTTCGGGGTGAGCTCGTTGTGATATGCCCAGCCACTTGAGCAGTGTTTTCTGAAGGGGTTCAGCCGACTGAGGTTAGATGCCTCTTAAAATTCACCATACCTAAAAGGCTGATATATGGTAGTTTCCCAAAATAATGGGACCCCAATATAGAGCCCAATTTGCTATAATCCTTATTATAGGAACCCCCAATATGGTACCTTTTTTGAGGAAACCCCTATATCTTGCTCCATCTCGGGGACCATGATCCCCGTCAAGAATACTAATGACTCGGAGGGTCAGTGTTGGGATTAACATGGGCTCGTTGAGGGAAATGGGATGTCAAAGTCTTCAGGCTTCTATGTAGGTTCTAGGGCCCGCTGAACTACGGATACCTAAGGGAAACTAGGTATATGAGCTATAGTCTAAACTCCTAATATCCTCTCTAAGAACCCCTCTAGTAGTCCCAAACTATCCCTATATCCCCTTTAAGGAGTTTAGACTAATTATGGCTCATATGTTGTTATTGGGATTGCAAAGGGGTCCCTATCAAGGATTCAATGGGGGAGGGGGTTCTTGACAAACTCCCATGTAAGGGGCTTTCAGTCTTCGGAGCTAGTGGTCATCATCCCGCAGAAAAATAGTTGTGACTTTAGCCATACTGCTATTAGTCCTACAATTCACAACCGCCTAAACACAAGCATACTGCACAATCCAAAAACACGATTCGCGCACCCTGCCGAGCTTGAGCAATGAAACCGTACAAACTGAACTGTAATGGCCAAAGCCAGAAACTGTACCAACGGCTGATCTAGATTCAGCATGCTCGCGAAAGGGAACCAATCTGGGAAGGGCTTGGAGTCGATTGCATCGCCGCTCGCCTGCGTGCTTGCCTCTTGTGGTTGGGGAATGGCGGAATGAGATCTCAGGGAGTGGGGGTTGATCTAAAGGCTCTTGGAAGAAGGTTCCTGTAGTTCTTGCAAGAAAGTACAGAGGAAAATATGTCCATGACCCTCTTTGGAAACATAGTTTTTTTATGAACCACCAAGAATCGGAATGATTATGGGGATTACTCTGGCGTGAGTATCACCTACAGAAATCCAACTTTCGATGCCCGGGCCCCTACTATGACGATTGCTCACTCGCTAAAACCTCAAGCCCAGGTAAATGCAAAATTGTATAGGGCAAATGTCAAAGAGGAACCTGGATCAACATTCGCTGAAAACTCCGGACCCGAACCTATACAATTTGTCCGCTCATATAAGCCCTAAGGCTGAACAGGTGAGGGGAAGTCCAAGAAAGTGGAGCTCCCCCCTTTATTTGGGGATCCTCGTAATAAGGATTATAGTTTTTAGGGGTCTATATCGAAACCACCATAGACCCTCAAGTACTACAAGCCCTATTGTGGAGACTACCGCAAAAGAGATCACCAACGTCTGGCAACCCCATTAAACCTGAACCCTAAACCCGAAAACCTAAACCCTAAACCCCAAGCCAAACCCTTCAGATTTTCTGGTCCTCGCCTGTATCTGCACTCTTGGAGCCCGGGGTGCGCTGCTTCCTTAGGGTTCAGGGTCTAGGGTTTAGGGTTTAGGGTTTCGGGGCGGTTTCCTTAGAACCAAATAGCCCAGGAAAATAGGGCCAATGTAGAATCAACTGAAGAAGAAAATCCAAAAAATACATGGAAAACCTGGGTTTGCAAGGATATTTATTTATGTTTGTATATATTTGTATAGACATACACATGGATATACGGGGTTCGAGGTTTGGCAATAAGAGGGCTTTGGCAATCCTAACCCTGCAAGGTGGGACACTATTACAAGCATATTAGAATATGATTTTATATGGACAGCCAGACTCGAGCCCCCCCCCTCCCACCCCCCCCCCCAAAAAAAAATGGTAAAAGGTTGCATGCAAACTCCTAAAACTTAAATCCTAAACTTCACCCGAAAGCCCAGAGCCTAAACCCTGAACCCTATACCCTAACACCTAAGCCCTAAACCCTAACCCCTACACCCTAAGCCCCAAACCCCAACCCCTACACCCTAGATCCTAAAACCGATCACTGAGGTTCTATTTGCTAGGACGAAGCCCACGCTGGGCTGGGTAGGCGAAATCATGCCAAAAGCCACCACCTCAGGTTTGGGGTTTGGGGTTTAGGGTGTAGGGGTTTAGGGTTTAGGGTGCAGGGGTTTAGGGTGTAGGGCTTAGGGTTTAGGGTGTAGGGTTTGGGGTTTAGGGTTTGGGGTGTAGATTTTGGGGTTGGGATTTAGAGTTTGGGGTTTGGGGATTAAGGCTTGGGTAACATGATTGGTGTTGGATTTGGTGTACCTCTTGATTTTGGTAGGATTTCGTATACCCCAAACAATTGAAGGTTATAGCCCCCCTTGCGCAGATAGAATGTGGAGTGTATGGGGATCTTATTATAATGTACCAAAGCTCTATTCTATCTACTTAAGGGGGACTATACCTATTCAGCCCGGAGGCCACCAGCAAGCCGGCTGTTGCCGGTGCTCGCTTTCGCATCGCGGAGGTGCGCGGCATCATGGCAACCTATTGTTGAAGCCTGAATAATTGTCAGTACTATATTCACATGTGGCCCTTATACCTTATACAACTAGAATTCTATGTGCTCGAACTGCCGTGTTCCCTTATGGTTCCGACGCTGCCCTTGCTAGAGCTTGCCCTAAACTTGCGATCTTGACAAGGATGCTGCACATGAGCTGGCCGTGCATTCTTCGCGTGTGCGCCTACTGCTTGAGACTGCAAAGCTCCGAGGCAGAATGGGATGAGGCATGCCTGGCCTCCGAGGAAAGACCTAGCTAGAATAGCCATCATAATAGAGCCTCCGTGTACCTATAAGCCCTAAACCCTGGTCGTATACCCAAAAAAATCCGGAACGCTCTAGACCCTAAGCCCCCAAACCCTATAGGGGATCCTGAATATTAACCCACGCTTCCTTCACAAGTCCGCACGAGGTAGGTATAGGAATGTCGAACGCTTCTGAGGTCATAACCTCAACCCAAAAACGCTGTAGCCCTACACCCTATAAACCTTGAACCTTAACCGCTATATACCCCACCCCCTAAACTACGACGCGACAGTTTATCACACTAACCTCTGTAGACAGAAGACATACCGCTATTAGAAAAATGAATGATGGTAAGACATATTGCCGGGTTGTCGTTTAGGCCTTCCCTATCCAAATCCTAAATCCTAAGCCCTGAACTTCATGCTTGAAATCCCAAGCCCTAAATCCCTGAAAACCTCAAACCCCAAACCCTGAATCCCTAAAAAAAAGGTCAAATCATGAATTCGCGCCTTCTTTTGGCCACGCCACTGCCATGATACACGTTGAGCCGCAACCTGGTGGCGCAACTTAGCGGCCGCATAATCCCCACTTGTTTAGGGTTTATGGGGTTTAGGGTTTAGGGGTTTAGGGTGTAGACATGTGTAGACACTGACGAAAATGTCTTCCGGAGGTGACTTAACTGGGAATTAACATAAGGCAGATTCCTTGGGACCGCCAAATAGGAAAGACCCCCTAAGAAGGACCCCTAGAAGGGAATCATAAGGGGACCCAGAGGGTTTGAAGAGGGTCTGTCATATTTTGGAGCTGGGGGATTTGTGAGATAGCTACTCAGATTTTACGTAGTCTCTGAAATGGTTCGAAGAGGAGGATGAAGGTACTAAGACCTTGTCAGCTACTTTCCATACCATGGAAGCAGGTATTGGGAGGATTGATGATTTCAGGGCACCACAGTTCTTGCACTGCGGGTTGATGCCAGGTGCTCTTGTGCTAGGAGTTCCATGAGCCTTGAAAGAGCCGGAGTATGCAGATTTTGGCAGTTGCTGAGGAAAGTCGCACGTGTTACTTCCACCTGCCATGCGGGCATGCAAGAAGCTGAAAGCGGGGTTTCCCCGAATTAGGCATCTGAAAAATGACCAACAAAACCAAGAAAAACATGACTGTTTGCGCCCGGCGTCAAAAAACGAAGAGAGAGAAGGTGGAAGAGTATTAGTCGTAATACGAATACGGACAAGAATAATAGTAGCAAAACGCATAAGAACAAGAGCCACAACGCCAAGGGCCTGCATGTCATGCAGAACAGTCCTTAAAGCCAGGAAAGCCGAAAGGCCAAGAAACCAGTGGCCTGCGGCTCAATTTTTGTGCTGCTTGTCAAATTACTTTTGGATGCTTGCCAATTTTTTTGATGCCTGATCAAATTTGTTGATGCCTATGCCTACCATTTTGGGGGCCCTCTAAGAAGGATTATAGTAGTTGGGGGTCTATATTGGGGTCCCCCTGTCTTGAGACACTACCGAATAGGATCCCGCAGGAAGGAAAAGAAAACAGAAGTTGTTTCCAGCGCAAAAACTCGTGGGTCGAAAACTTAGCACTAATTAGAGCCTGAACTCAAAGACTTCTCATACAGAACCCTGAAACCTAAACTCGGAACCCTACATCCTAAACTCACAGACTTCCCGCTCCAGGTACGGTCGCCAGCTCCACCGAGCTGTTCCTTCAGCTGGTCATCCACCGAGATGAAGGCAGCCTCCAGAGCCATAGGTTTAGGGGTTATATAGGGGTATATAGGATTTAGGGTTTAGGGGCATGTAGGCCTAATGTAAAAGACAGTGGAAATTATTATCTAGTTCAGGAGGTTGCATAAGGTTGAACAAGGATAACGGAAGAGGTGGAGACTACTATTTAGGCTTTAGGGTCGATGGTCCTAAGCCCTAAACGCCTAAAACCTAAACCCCTATTTAGACTTTAGGGTCTGGGATCTAGGGCTCAGAGTTTGTAGACTTAGGGTTTAGGGTTTACGGAAGAAGCTACATTGCGAAACACTGGAGCTATCTATGATACTAATTACAAGGGGCTGTAGGATTCTATCTGCCTATAAGTTGGGCTTTCCCCTACCTAGAATGACTTAGGATTTAGCATTAGGGGGTTCTGGGCTCCAGGGTTTGGGCGATCAGGATTTGGGGTTTTAGGGCTTAAGACCTGCGGGTTTAGCGGTTTGGTGTTTGGACATGTTTAGGGCTTTCGGTTGCTACCGCCGGGTCAAGTCAGCACTGGAACTTGCAGAGTGCATGCAAACTTGGTACGGAAACAAAAGCAGCTGTAACTAGCAGAATAAACATACGAGTGCGATTACTATGACCGTTACGCGTACCTATCTTTGTATGATATCCGGATATGTTTCGACGTATGTTTCGAAGTACCAGAAATGAACGTTGTGGGGGTATGTACCGGGGTATGTATGAAGGTATGTATCGGGATATGTATCAGAAGTGTCACACATGCTCCTTTCAATGAATTCCCGAACACCCAGTGATTGCAAGACCCATATGCCAATTACCATTACTACTGTTATTTCTCATACTGTTGGCGCTACTGCTAGCAGCAACATGTCTGCAGAAGAAAGCAACTACATTCAAGCCGACCCCTCCGCAAAACGTAGCATGGAAGCCCAAAATGTGGCCTATGCAGACCTCTATTCTTTTTAAGCAAGACTAAAACGGCACACTTTTTTGTGTGGACCCCAAAACAGGGGAAAAGGGACTACAAAGGTGAATCCAGCCAGTGACATCAAAGTAACAGAGTTTGGGGTTGAAGCTGGGCGGGGGGAGGTTAGTGAGCGGATCTGTGGTTCAAGGTTGTTTCAAGCGCAGGCTAATTAAGACTTTGCACTGCATGAAGCAGCATCTCGGACGTAAAGTGGGGAGGTGTCACTAAATTAAAAAGCCCAGGAACCCTGAGACAGCCGCATTTTTCAAACGAGGTTTGGGGGAATCAGAAGGCTTGTCCTTGAAACAGTTGGGGAGCTCTTTTGAAAACTAAAGCTCCCGAAGCCTGAAACGTCACACCCCTCCACAATAAACTGGGCTGCTGTTGAGGATCTTAAAACAAATTACCATACGAGAGACGCCCCTTAAATTTATTGTGTATCCACGCTCTGGCGATGTAATTGTTGTAGCAGCAACCAATTACATCCTAAGCACTAATAGTATCCCATCGGCGCTTTTTGGCCCAAACCCTTGAATCTTGGCCCTCCTTGCTCAGAAGGATCCCTACTTGCAAGTTCAGGACACATCGTAAATACTATTACATTGATTGGTGCCCCGCATAGAAGGCATGCAGTAGCCTCAGTTATTTCCGTTATCAAACTACTTCTGAAATCACCCTGACCTCCATGTAGATCCTGAGCCCTAAGCCTCCCCCTGATGCCTCCACGGCGGAACGCCGTGCTTCAGCGCTGCTGCAGTCAGTGAGCTTCCTGTGCTGTTTGCCCAGTCTTCAAGAAAGGCTTGGGGGCTAAGGGTCTTGGTTTGGGTGAGGTCCTAGGGCCTAGACCTATGGAGTTCGTAGGGTTTTGGTTTTGCGACACATAAGGCGTAGGGCGTAGGGGTTGGGCCCACTTTACGATCACTTCTGCATGGTGTACCCCAGCCTAGCGAACGGTAAAGAATGTTGTGGAGTCCAGGTAAAGCTGGGCGAATGCTGCCATGTATGACGTCCTGACGGTGCCCTTCCACACAGGTGTTGTAAAGGCGCCGACAGCTTTTGAAACCACACTCCCCTCGAACCTTCCTGGGATCTTTCTACGCACCTTTCAAGGGCGGCACTCCCTCAGGAATAGCAAGTTCCTCTCTAAAGGTCCGTAACTAAGGCCTTCAAGGGCCTCTCCCACGCCTGCAACGTCTCAGGCCTCGTTCCTTTTTGGTTTGCTGCCAATTTCGTCGTAGCCTCGCAGGTAATTGTCCAGGGCCCAGCAACCTTTCTGAAAGGGGTCCGCAACATCAACACCACCTCGAACCGGGGACAGGGGCACCATGAAAGCGCGGCCACCAAGAGCTTCAAAGAAACCATTGAGTCTGGCACTAGTCACCATAACCCAGAACCGTCAGGAACGCTAACACGAGCGCACTCGTGCCCAAGTAACTCGGCACAACAGCTTTGCAGACAACCAAGGCAGCACCAACGGCGCGGGCCCAAGTCAATTGTGGACTAGGCCTGACGGCATCCACTTGGAGGTTCTGGTTTTCTGTCGGGTTGTGCCGGAAAAACCGAAGGTTGATACCTGAAGCTGTGCAAGAATCGTCAGCTGTCGCGAGGCCGGTGTGCTGAGATACCTCCGAGGCTTGTGGGAATAGCCGCACTCCCTATGGTGATGGACAGCGCTAGACTGCCGCCTTTCCGCGATGCTACTTTTGTGGCTGCTCTCCATGCTGCCTTGGCCCTCAAAGGGATGCCTCTGAGACTTCATGAACCACGCTCAAAATTATTTGAACTCAGGGTGGTCATGGGGAGGGTTGCTGCTATGTCAAGCCCCTTGAAAGGTACCCTCATATTGACAACACCCCGCGTTGGTAAACCTTGAACCCTACACCCTTATGAAGCCTACATCCTGGATCCAAAACTTTAAGCCCTGAACCCTAAATCCTGATCCTTAAACTCTTGCTAACCAAGCCAAGTCTCGCAAGCGCTGGTTCCAGAAGAGAGGGAAGGAGCTCGGACACTGCGCTGCCTGCAGGGGTTTAGGCTC